TCCGGCCCGGCGGCAGGTGCCGCTCGCGGCTGCCCGCGAGATCCCGCTGTTAGCGGCAGGATCCCCGCGATTCCCGCCCGGCCTCCGGGCCGCAGCCGGGCTCCCCCGCCCGGCGCCCCCACCCCGCTCCTCGTACAGACGGCCCCGGACCGAAGTCACCAGCACTTCCACCAGGACCGCTGCCATTTGAACAGAGATGTCGAATATATTCTACTAGCTGCACCGATGATATTCTGTACATCTATATAGGACACAAAAGAGGAAATGTTTTTGGCACGGGCAGACCCCACTGCTCGTATAGCACAGGGGGCCTGCAACAAGCAGCGCTAGCCTCAACAATTGCCCCAAAGCAGCTGGGTAACTTGGATTTTCTTTCCCTCCCTTAACTTTGTTTTGTTTTGTTTTATTTTATTTTGAACTGGGGAGTGACATTTCTCCTCACGCTGAGTTTGAACTCACAGCGCTGTGTGGTTGTTGCCCTGCTCTCCAGGTGGTAGCCCTGGGGGACGTACCCGATGGCACGGTAGTGACGGTCATGGCTGGAAACGACGAGAACTATTCTGCAGAGCTCAGAAATGCCTCCGCCGTCATGAAGAACCAAGTGGCAAGATTTAATGATCTCAGATTTGTGGGACGCAGCGGCAGGGGTAAGTGGCTGTCGGACACTCGGAGCGGAGCACTCGCATTTTTAAAGTGGCCATGAGTTTGTAGCGTTGGGATGGGGGTGGAGGTTGCTTATGATCTGTGACGCTGTACAGGTTGGTGAGAGGCAGCGCAGTTCCTGGGGTTTTTTAAAGAAGGCCCCACGCCCTGGGGAGCCGGTGGCAAGTGCTGTCTCGGCGCAGGGGAAGCAGGATTGGGCCCGCGAGAGGGTTATTTGGGGATTTGAATAAGAATCGAGATGTCGGTAAAAGCACGATCGCAGCGCTTCTCCTTGCAGGTGTTCTGCTGGGCTTTCCCTCTGCGGACTTTTATGCCCAAAATAATAAGCCACCAGGAGAAGTAAATTATTTCTTAAACCCAAAACTGTTGATTGTGCTTTAAATCTTGTTTCTGTTTGTCTGCTTGTCTCCCCCTCTTGCCTCCCCCCTTCTAAAATTACATGAAAAGACAAGCGTACACACACATTTTACTGATTAGAGTCTGATCCCAACCCACTGCAATCCATGGAAAAGTTCCTACGGGATTAAGCCAGATATGGATGGCAATCTAAAGGTACAAATATCCTTTCGTACCACTTGAAACACTGTAAGGTACGCTGCATTGAGTCTTCATTTATGAGAAGGGATTTACATATTTCTAGTGACTGGAAATAGTCACCCAGTCCTTCCAATCATTCTTAGAGCTTGTAGATGGAGCGTTTGAAGGGTGAGAATAATTTAATTTATTAAGCTTCACTTTGATTTTAATAGCTCTGGGGAGTTTAAGACGGACAAATTCAAGTGAAAAACAAGGCACACGTTTTAAACGGTTTCTTAGGGTGATTCAGCATTAAGGGAAATCAATGAGGGAAAGCTGAGCAGTGCTGAACGGCTGGCTTTTTGGAAGATACACGCCAGTCCAACACATGTTTGTTATACAGAGGGCTGGACCAGATGATTTAATGGTTCCTTCTGGTCCTGAAATCTCTGAATATATCATTTAACCTCAAACTTTCATACTGCTGCAGACAATCCTGGCCAGCTTTTAAAGGCAGCCATCAGTGAAGTGACTTTGTGTTGTATGAGTAAATACAAGACAAAAATGAATCCGTTTGACTAGACTGAAAGCCAGCCAGCCTTTCAAGGAAAGTATTATATCCCTTCCCTTGCCATCATGCCTGATTCATTACAGCAACATTTTTACCTGAGTTTCAGATGGCATAAACAGAATTTTAACATTTCATCACCAATAAACACTGCAGCTTTAAGCATTTAGTTGCGCTAAAAAAAAATCCTATATTTTAATGGCCATATGGCAGTGTTTTCTCTAACTCTCCTAATGTATACATACAAACGTCAAAGATATTTTGACTTCTCTGCATTAATTAAAACCAGTGATGCTAGGAATTATTTGCATGTAATAACTGTTTACTTGTTACTCTTTATGAAACTTGAATAGTTTACATTCTTTCATACATTTCCTCTTTCCTGTTGGCTCCTTTTCCGAGTTGCAGATTTTCTTTAAAACCCTCCACTTAACTGGTTGCAGGTTAATGGATGGAAAATGTTTTTCTTTTATGAATTAAGCTTTCATTTCTGTAGTCAATTATTCTCTTAGGCCCTTTTTTTTTCTTCATCCTCACACAAATTTCCAAACTGAATGCAACCCAATCTCAGCCTGATTCTTGAACTCGCTATTAGCTTTCCTCCACTGGAATACTATCTTCATGCTCTGCAACAACAGTAGTTTATAGTCTCTTGAAAGCATTTAGGTGTATAGTTTCCCTTCTCCACCATGGGCTTGATCAAAGCTCATTACAACCAATGGAAAAATAAAAAAACCCCCGAATCCTTTCCTTTGGCTTTATCAGGCTTTGGATTAGACCTTATGTGAACGAACAAACGCACGTGCCCGTGTCAGACCCGGATCTAAAATGTTTGTTTTGTCTTTTATAACGAGGACAGCCTGAGCTCCCAAATTCAGGGGTGGGGGTTAGTGCAGATGGCTGTCAGAGCAGAAATGCAGGATCCAGCCTGAAGAGACACGATCCCTCCATCTCTAATAATGTTGCGATACAGAATGTGTGTGACAGCCCACTGAGGACCAGAAGAAGAGCTAGATGCTGTTGCTGTTACCAGTGGAGGTCATGCGCCCTGCGGGGAATGGCCTCTACCTGGGCGGGTGCTCCAGTTCTGTGCAGGGTCACCTTCATTGTAGCCACGTGCTTGGTTAAGTGCTTACCCCTGCCTGGTGTGTGTTTGGGGGGAGGCAGGCAGCTCTGGAACAAGAGCCCAGCACCTGGGACGAAACACGTCTCTACCTAGTTACTGGTTAGTGCATGCGTTGGATTCAGCTGGCGGATCTTTGTAACTCCCCGAAAGGACCAATTTCCAGTCTTACTTGCTCCAACAGAAGTCTGGAGTGATTTTGGTATTTACTGGGAGCGGGATCTCCATGTACCCGTTTCCGTATCTGCTGTCAAATGGATGCATAGATGTTGAGGCACAGGGAAGCATGAACTGTCTGTGTAAACATCCTGAGCTTGTATCAACGCCAAGCTCTCGTTTGAAGCAGTTTGTTTAATATGGGTTAATTTGTGGCATCATTATTACTCTATTGCTTTAAGTAGTATTTGGATTAATGTCAGACCTACAAACACTGAGAGAGACCAGGGCCTCTCTGTTTTGAGTGGCATGGGGAGAAGGGCTCCCTACCCGGATAAGCCCCCAGGCTACACGGATAAGAAAAAAGTGCGAGAGAGAAGCTGTCGGCAGCCCCTTTGGGCAGAGGCAAAACTGAGGTTCAGAAAAAGAGGTTGAGTCCTGCTGAACAGCATCTTGCCCTGGAAGCATACCCACAGAAATCGCAGGACTCTTTATGGAGCACGATCTGTGGAGCCTGTCTCATAATGAGCAATTTGCTCAGCAGAGAAAATTTGGAACTTGATTTGAGGTTTTCTGTGCAGATTCATGTCCTGGAATGACTGCTGTCGAGCGTGGGGATATCTGTGCAAAGGGGACACAAGTGAAGATTACAAAAGTTATAAACTTGCTTTTATTGTCTCCAGAGGAGGACGGGAATGAGTTCCATGCTGCTGTGTCCCAGCATTTCTAAATGCTGCTCTCAGTTTATTCCTGCTGAAGATCATACCCCACAGTGAAGGCTGCAGGTTTTCTTTTGGTCGTTATCTGGATTTTTGAAGTTGAATGCAGAGAATTTAGAGCCATTTGCCAAATCGAGGGAGGTAGGAAGTGGCAGAGCTGGAAGTACAATCCCAGATTATTATTTCCCAAGCCTTCATTTGAGGCACTGGGTTAGACTGATAATCTGAAAACTATTGTGCTTATATTTGTGTTGCGCTTCATTAAAAGAAATTTCCTGGAAGATTTCTGTTCTCCAGGCTGAGCTGCAGACAAACAAATTTTATTCCCTATATTTGAACTTGTTCCTTGAATAATTTCTTTTAATAATTCCTGATCTGTAAATGGCTTTATTGAGAGTACCTCCCAACCGGACAGTCTAGCTGTGCTGGTTATTTTTAATTGGATGCAGAGCTCATATCGTTTGTTTTTTTTTGTTTTTTTTTGTTTTTGTTTTGTTTGTTTGTTTGTTTGTTTGTTTGTTTCCCAGTCTGGAGGAGTGCAGCTCTTAAATCCAGGCTGTCAGTACAACTCCTGGTATTTGTGACTTAACAATTTACTCCCGTGTGGAGAACCAGTGTGAGGCACATGTAGCATTGAAGTCCTACTTTGAGGTCCAAATACGGTTTTGGCACAGTTTTTTTTCCCTAGACATTTGAATTTAATCTTTTCCATTTTTTGTCAGTACCCACTTCTGATCAGTCATTTCCACAATAATCTCGCAAGGAAATTTATTTGCTAGAATAATTATGGGATGTCCTATTTGGAGAAAATCCATCTCTTTTTAATTTAATTTTTGTAGGAATAAATAATTTAATTTTAATATTCACTTTTGTCCCTGGTCAGGGAACTTTGAGCTCTCAGGGAGGTGATCATGAAAACCTGAACATGGTAATAAATACAGATTGGCACAGACAAATGTTTTGTTGCTCAGAGGTTTGAGAACATCCTTGCCTGAGGTTGCACTATGGGAAAAGATGGATACCTTCAGAAGGGCCAGATCCAAAAGGGGTTTTTCCTGCCTAACTCCTACTGAAGTGCCTAAACTCCCGTTGAAATCCTAAATGACCTAGTCCTCAGTGATTTAGAAGCAGAAGGGTCTTTAGAAGTGCCTAAGTGATTTAGAAACCTAAGAGACTTTTGTTGGGACTTGTGTCTCTGTGTCACCAGATGCTTCTTGAAAATCCCACACACCTGCACACTCTGTGATGGTTGGTGATATGGTTTTGCTCTGATACACCCACCTTCCCAACTTGTTTATAGAGATTTCTGTTCCAGGAAGATACTGAAACTGGCTGCGTCGCACGTCGCTGTCTCGAGACGCTAAATGGTCGCAATAGCTCTTTGTGGCTGTAGTCAAGGGGAAAGCTACAGGTTCCTAATGTAAACAGTCCTGAAAGCTGGCAAGAATAGGATCCATCATAAAATGGCATTGTTAAATCCTGCATGTTGGCTAGACAGCGAGTCTGGTGATAATATCAATGAACCTGCACTAGTGATGGGTGTAGTCCATTCATGGAGGTCAGCTGTGATGCAGTGACTGAAGCACCGGGCCAGGGATCAGGGTTGTATTTCAACCCCCGAGAGGATGGAGTGGTCTAGGAGTTGGAGTATAGCGCTGGGAGATCTTGGGTTGAGCTCCCAGAGGGAGGTGTGATCTAGCGCAGCATGGGCCAACCTTTCTGGCAGGTGTGCCACAAATTTACTCCACGCTCTCTCAGCGCGCCGCTTGGATTCCCTTTCCCTACCTGCTCTCTGCTCCCTCCCCTGTGCTCCCTGCTGAATCCGAGGCTCTGCTTTTCTGTCCTATCTGCCGCTGCACTGCCTGCGCCCGCCCCCATCTGCCACGTGCCCTCCATGCAGTCTGCCTGTGCAACTTCTGCAACAGCCTGGCCACCCCAGGTTGCGGGGTTAGGAAGCAGGAGGTAGGTCTTCAGCTGGGGTAAATTGTTGCGCCTGTGTCCATTCGCATCAGCTGAGGAGCTGCCCTTCGGGTTCTGTTGTTGGGACTAGAAGGAGGTACTGTGTCCTGGTAAGAATAGTGGTATAGATGGGCATTTGGAGAGCTGATTTTCACTCCTGTCTCTGCTGCTGAGTCACCATGTGGTCTTGGGCAAGTCACATAGCTTCTCTGTGCCTCTGCTTCCCTATCTGTAAGATGGAAAGAACAGTGGCACATACGTCTGCAAAGCATTTTCACGTCTGTGGTTGAAGATGTGCTGCATTAATACAAAGCACTATCACAGTACTGATGAATACAGGGAATTTTCTCAAGCCATTTCAGGAAGGTATCCCTCTCTTACAGACAGAGCGCTGTTAACTTGAACAACGGAATTTAAAACCCCACCCTAGCGCTAATGAGATAATGCTTTTTTCTTATCGGCCGGTGTCCTGATACAGTATTTTCATTCCTGCCTCCCAGTACCATACAGTGCTGCTTAGACAAGTGAAGAAATGGGTCAGAGCCCATCGTCTGAATAAGGCAGCAACGAGACAGTCAACCTCTCACTGGTCTGCTTTTGCCTTTGCAAAACCGAAAGTAGCAGTGGTCTGGATCCTGTTTTCTTTTTATATTTACCTCCAAAGTCTGGGGCACTTCAGGGACGACATTCAGCTGTCTCCAGGAATACCTAGTGAAGAACACCAATAACACAAGGAGCAGAGGATGGAGAACAGCTGGAAACAAGGACTTTTTCTGATGATAAAGTCCACTAATGGCTTTACCAGTCAAGTATGTACAAGTGAGGAGCAGCAAAAACACATATACTGTACGTGGTGGGAATTGCTCCTTTTGGTAGCAAGTGCTTGCAGGGTCAGGGCTTCACTTTCTCCTTTCTCTTTTGCATTTCACTTTATTATTTTGTGTGTGTGTGTCTGCTGGTGTCCATCTACCTGTCTGCGCTGCAGGTATTGCTGTGACAGCACTACAGTGTAGGCATACCTGAGCGAGCTAGCGTGGGCACGGATAGCCGGCTAGTTGCAGTGCACAGGGAGCAGTAGGGGCCAGGCTGATGAACTCTGCGTTATCGTGGTCGGACTGCTATCCGTACCTGAGTTAGCTTGGATTTGACTGCACAGCAGCGACTACAGGAAGGACGTGCCCAGGTTGCCTTTCCCATCAGTCACGAACATTACTCCTGCAGAGAAGCTCATGCAAGCACTCGTTAGGACTGAAGAAGTACTACTGGACTAGCAGTTGCAGAATCAGGCCCTTGAGGACCAGGGGCTGGGAAGTGAAGAGATCCAGTGGGAAGCCAGCGTAAAGCACTGAGTGTAGAGGGAGGGGAGAGCTTCTCCACATGAGGAGCAAGGGAGCTGTTTGAGGTGTCGGGGGGGGTGTTGGTGGGGAGACGGCTACAGCTGTTGTACTGTGTCGGGACAGGCTCAGCCTTTCCCACTGAAGTAATCCCAGTCCTCTTCTCATTACAATTAGCAGGAACTTTGCTACTGGCCCCTTCTCTGCCAGCACCAAGTGATGCCTCATAAATCTCAGCACACACTAATGTACCTCACGTGGTCCCTTACTTTCTTTTGTGCAGCTATTTTAGTGGCTTTCCAAAAGCTTCCTAAATTTGAGCCTGATCTTGCTTCTACCGGTGTCAGTGCCAAAGCTCCCAGCGGTAGCAGGCCTTGAGTCACGCGCTATCTGCCTGCTCGAGAAATGAACTTACATACATTTTCTCTCCTCTTTTTCCCCCCCACAACCCTCCTCCTAGGAAAAAGCTTTACACTGACGATCACCGTGTTCACAAACCCCACGCAAGTTGCCACCTATCACCGAGCTATTAAAGTGACTGTGGATGGACCCCGGGAACCAAGAAGTAAGTTATGTATTTATTTGAAACTGGCCAGTAGCAGAGCATGGGTGCAGCAAAGCTGACCTTACTGCGTGTGCTACCCTGCCAATGCCCACCTGCTGTGGGGGGTGTCATGAAGAAGTGGCTTTTTATTGTGTTACATGTGTGTTCATTCTATGGTGCTGGCATGTTTTTAGAGTGCTTGTAACACCATGTGATTTGCAGTGTGTACAGGGTTTCTTGGAAACACTGAGTGTAGGTGCCTACACCGTATGTGTGTTGAATGCTGCTCGTGTCTGCCTTTCTCTTTGCTCGCTCCTGCAGTGCTAGTAACATGATCACTGCAACCTGGTTTTGCTCTTCTGTCCCAGGTGGCACTTAGGAAAATGCCATTGGCTTAAAAAAGCAGAATTGGTTCAAACCCTGAGGTGTGCAGAGCACCTGCAGATCTAATTGAAGCCAGTGGCTCTCAGCACTTCTCGGGAGTTGGCCTCGTTATAAAGAAGCCCATTTCCTTAGCTGGGGTTTCTTAGATTAGTAAAATGAAAAGGGACTTACAAGTCAAGTTTCCTCTGCTCTGTTCATTTCTTCTTTTTGAATGTCTCTTCCTGCAGAGCATGGTACGGTCTTGAAACCAGTCGTTACCCTCTTTAGTTTGTAGTTAGTTTTGCTTTCAGGATCTCAGTGGTGCTGCGTGCGGCTGGCAACTGCTGCAAAGGGGGATGGTCTAGAACTGCAACTGGAGGATAGAAAGCTCTCGGGTTTTGTTTTGACATATCGCTCGCACAGAGCTGAGCTAATGACATCTCTGAAGTGGATGTGGCTGCCCCAGTTTGGGATCCACATTGTTTGGGCCTTACAATTTTGCCTGGCTGCCTCCCTGACTGTTGGCATGCTGAGGTAGGCAGATGGCAGAATTATTACTAGAGTATTTGCATTGTGGTGGTACTGAGGATCCCTGGGCTGGAGCCCCTTTGTGCTAGGTGCTGTACAGGCACCGAACGTGAGCACAGCTCTACACATTTGCTTCTCTTGTGTTAACGGAGGAAGCCGTTTTCCTGCTTCTTAGGAACGTGGGGCTGCCTTATACTGTCTGCTTGGTATTTCACTGAAGTCCTTTGTTCAAGTCTTCCTCTCCTTTAGTGCAGATCGCTCAGTGCTACCCCCATGGACCATAAAGCAGTTCCTTCACTGTACTAAAGCTGTCGGTGTCCAAAATGAAAGGGAAATGGTCTGAGCCTTCTAAATATGCTTTAAAATATTTTCTGTTGCGGCTGTTGTTATGCCATCTGCTCGGCTTGATGGAGGGCCAGGCAGGCACACGGTGTAACAAGCTGCTGAGATCTGTGCAGCTTGGTTTTATGTGGTCTAGTTTGTCTTCAATTCTTTTTTACTTTATTTTGGGGACAAGGACTGAGTTGCTTAGTGTTACCCCCTAGCCAGTTTGATGTAGGATTTATTTGGAAAAATAAACACCAAAGTGATGCAATTTAAAACTTTTTAGAAAGCAACAAATACCATAATTATTCCTATTTCAATACTCCCCTAACTGAAACTCGGCTCCCATTGTGCTAGGCACTGTAAATATACCCCAGAACACAAGCCCAGCCTCTCAATTATATCATCTAAAGAGACCCAGCAGCCCAAAGTGGGAATGGCAGCAAGTCCAAATTAGCCAAGTACCTGTGTGTTAGTCAGGAATAGAAGCCAGGTGTCCCAATGTCCATTTTGGTCTCCTGATGTCCACTTTTAAAGCGCTCTGCAGCCGTGCACTTCTGTCAGGGCACAGCTATAGAGCGCTTGCAAGGGGCTGATTGCACAACAAATGTAACTTTTGTCTGTTCTATTTCCTTGCTGTATAATCCAAGGCCTGAATACGTATCGGTGCAACACAGTCCCACTTGCTGTAGAACCCAGGGGGTTTTTTATCACCATCTCTGGGACTGAGAGGGCCTTTTTCCAGAGAGATGTGTTCAGAGTTTGTCAACCAGGAAGGCCATAAATGTGCCCAAAGTTTGGCTGCAGGGACCTGGGGTCTGATGGAAATCTGTTCTGTAGAAGTGCTTTTTCGTAGATGTTGTACCTCATTGTCCTTCAGTCTGTACTGAACCAGAAATAAAAGTGCCTCTTCATGCGCGCACACACGCACGCACACGAAATGGTGAGGAACTATTGCATGTAAAATGATACAGTCAGTCATGAAACCAGATGTGGTTTTCACAGCTAACCCACCACTGGGCAGCTCCCAGTACCAGAGCCCTGCTATATGCTGCATGTGATCAGCCGCTAGAACTCATGGCCACAGGGGAATCATCGAGTTAAATCCTCTAGCCGGTTGGTTGGTAAAAGGGGCTGGATAAAGTCACTGCCAATAAACACATTTGGCTCGGCACGGTGTGACCACACCTCCCGATTCACGTCAGGAGCTCGTTGCTGCAGGGCGATGACGGTTCTCCCCTTCATCTGCAGCCTCGCATGGTTGGCAAGATGCTCTGTGCTGCCTGTTCTCTTGCAGCGGCAGGCAGGCAGTGCTAGAGGCAGGAGAGAGCACTTGGTGGGGATTGGGTTGATCTGGTTTGACAGGAAAAGCATCCTTGGTATGGAAAGAAGCAGCCATTTGTAAGAGGGTCCTGGGAAAGCCGTGGGCATCATCTCCTCAAATGAAGAGAAATTCCCCAAGCAAATGTTCTCCTAGGTGTTCAAACAGAAGCACACTCTGTCTGCATGCACCACCCCCTCATGTCTGGTCTTCCTCTAACCCGTTCGCCAAGCCTGTGGAGCAGAGAGCTTTTTCCCAGGATTTGCTTACTTTGGGTCTGTCCTTCAGCGAGCTTTTTAACTCACGATGAGCCCAGGTTGTAACTGCAAACCATGACCCCGCTGGATTTGAAGGGGAGGGATTAGGAATTTGAGCCTGAACCCTAGAACAGGTCAGTCCAGAACCCTGCACTGGATCCCACTGCCCTTTGCGGCTTGGATCAGGCTGCCGCAATGCAGCTGGCATGCTGTGGTGGGAGTGCGAGAGCTGGGGCCCATGTTGGCTCTTAACCAGATTAAATCCCATATGTGATGCGAGCACAAGTGTCAGGGCAGCGTATTGAATCACTGGCAGGCCTGTCTTCAAGGGACCTCAGCCTGAGCCCCGGGTTTGCACCCGCAGTCGGTGGCAGGCACAAGCAGTGGTAAAAGGTAGCAGCTGATCTAAGGAGCACCCGCCGAGCGGTTGGGGCGAGGCGTCATTGGTGGTGTCTGTTGCTTTCACCCGCAATCAGTCACAAGAGCGGCCGCGGGAGAGTGGGAGAGGCCAGGCTTCGAACATGTGGACACGGAATGAACCTGGCAGGGAATTTTGCAGCTCGTGTCGGAGTTATTTCAGAGACCCCAGGCCATTGACTGCCTGCAGTTAGAAGCATTCTCCCCCTGAAATGCCTCGGTTCTGTCTCCAAATCTTTATTTTGCTAAAACTCTTCGTGACTCGGATCTGGGAGGAAAAAAAAAAGGAAAAAAAATCATTTTTCATGTTGACACCTACGGTTCTAAACAAATTGCACTTGTAGTGCCAAGTGTTGACATGCTTGTACAAACAGGAAGTAATAAAATATTTGAACTTCCTGTGGAATTTCCTTTTTTTTTCTTTGCAGCTCTTTATTTAGAGAGAACCCAACTGAGACAAACTGCAGCCCTTGTGCGGAGCCCGTAACGTCCACAGCTGCTTGCACAAGAGGCTGCAGGAGGCACGGCACTGGAGAAGTGCTTGTCTGAAGCCCTGTAGCAGCAGCAGCCGGCCTTGAGCAAATGGGTGCACGTATGCCACCTTCCCCATCCCCTTGCCTTGCCCACAAGTCTTCTCCTTCTCCTCTGTCGTGGATGCAGATGACTTTTTTTATCTGCTCTCCACCCACTTGCACTGGGGATGCCAGACCATCTCCTAGCCGCCTCGTGGCCATTTTCATCTTCCCTTGCTTTCCTCCTGAACCTCTCCAACTCCACCGACCCCACCCTTCCCTGCTCAGTTCAAAGCTGCTTTAATCACTGTCATTTTAAAGCCCCCACTCTCAGCCTTACTTGCCTCTCCACACTGTGCCCCTTTATCCCTGCACATGGTGCCCCCCTTTCTGTTTCGTTCCCTTACAATTGCTCCTGGGGCTCCTCCTCTCCAGCGTCCTCTAAGGATCCCTCCCGCCCAGAGTCTGGCCCTTGGTCTGAGAGGTCTTCACTGATCTCTTCCTCACCAAATCTTAGACCCAGTGCTCCATCCTTGTCTTCCTCGCGCCGCCAGCACAGTCAGCTGTTCTTTTCTTCTTGACACCTCCTCCTGTCTTAGCCTCCGTGTCATTTTTGAAGGAATATCTTCAAGGTTTCAAACCACCAGCCAAACGTTCCAAGAAGTGGGGAGAGGTGGGCTGTGTTAGGGCTGGCTCGCAGAGCGGACAGCGAACAAGGCTGGAGTGAGCTGGACCCACTTCCCAGTACCCAGCTCCCTTCTGCAGCCACGGTCAAACATCTGTGGGTGAGCTCCTTGCTGAGGGTTGAGTGAACCTGCTCCTGCTACATACAGGGCCTCGTGAGCGCAAATCTGATCTTCCCTTGGAGGAAATGGAGTAATTTAAGTCTCTCTCTCTCTCCCTCTCTCTTCCTTTATTGTCTTAGAGCAGGGGTGGGCAAAATGCATCCCGTGCACCAGATGCAGCACATCAGGCCATTCTATCCAGCCCGCGGGGCCCCTAAAAAATTTAGAGAATGAATATTTATCTGCCCCTGGCTGCCTGTCATGTGGCCCTTGATGGCTTTCCAAAACTCAGTAAGCAGCCCTCCGCCCAAAATAATTGCCCACCCATGTCTTAGAGTGATGGTATACCCCTGTGCACCAGTTCAGCCAGGCACAGAGTAAAGCAAGCCTGGCCCCTTCAGTCATGCTCCAGCTGAGCTGTAGGTTTCGGACGCTGCAATGAAATGTAGCCCTTGGCCAAGGCTTTAAACGCATTGGGTGTACTTGCTGGTGCCTCTGGAGCCACCTTGAAGTC